CACACACACACACACACACCGTTCATCCAGCCCAGCAGAGTGACAGTGACAGTCCTCTATCAATACAATAAGAGTGTGTGATTGAATTGTGTGTGTGTTTAGGCTCAGTCTAAGGTCACTGTGTAACAGCGAGACTAAATGGCTTATGAAGGAGAAGCACAGTAGAAGACAACCTCTGTTCAGAGCGCAGAGATCCGCTCCTGCTAAACCAGAAACAGTTTCTAGATACACAAGCTCAACTTCACACAACATTACTGTATGCAATTCATAACACAACAAGCACATTATGCATCTGCAGGTACTCCACAGCAGATATTAGTGTAGGTCAGGTGTTCTCAAATTCATTGATTAAATAAAAAAACTAAAAATAAATAATTTTAAAACAAAAACAATCCAAATAAAGCACTTACTAAAAATTAATTAAATCATAAAAATGTGAAATCAACATGAATAATTTCAAAATAAAGACAAAAAAAATTAAATCATAAAAATGTCAAAGTAAATAAATAATAGTCAAATAAAAACTATCAAAATAAAACACTTACAAAAATGAATTACTTCAGACAAATGTACAATATACATACATATTTAAATCAAAACAATACAAATGAAACAAAAATGTATTAATCAAAAAATGCAAAATAAAAAGGAATACACTTAAAAAAACAAACAAAGCAACACTTTACAACAAAAATGAGTTAAATAAAAAAATTCCAAAGTTTCACATTTAAAAAATACAACTCATTAAAATACAAATCGTAATTAAAATGCATGAAATCATAAAAATAATATTTAAAAATAATAATTTAAATAAAAACAAACATTTAAATGAAACGCGAAAACACAAAAAGATGATGCATATTCTGACCATTGATAACATTAATAATATAATATTATTAATATCAAAAATAAAAATGAAATATTAACTTGAGATCTATGATGGGATGTCAAGCAAATATTTGTAAATATCTTTGGCTGTACACAAGTTTTGGCTGTCAAAAACAATTGGAAATCCCTGCTGTAAACTTCCTTCTTCTACTGTCTTCTAATCCTCTTTTAATGTTACGGATCAATTCAGTTAAACAATCTGAATACTAACACATCTGGTTTAATGGCAGACATCACCAGCCCCTTGAGGTCTGAGGTTTGATTCATACATTCAGTATGGACAATGTGATTTTACACTTGCATTTCTTTTTGAACATCCTTCAAAATCCACTTTGATTGTGAATTCTGTGCTAAAACGTGTGTGTGTCTCACCTCATGTTTCTCCTGAAATTCAGACATGTCCATCCGGATGAAACCCTGTATAAAAGAGCGACAGAATCTTGTCATTTGCCCTTCATGAGAAGCCAATCATTTCAGAAGAAGGCTTATTTACTGACTGACCTTCTTAATGTCTTTATGCATGTATCGCGCCACCTGCTTGGCCAGCTCAGTTTTACCTGCAAAAACAACAGTCAAACATTTATTTGCGTCTATGCAATTAATTTCATCAAATAATAAAACCAGAAACGCTAGAAATATTACAGCGGTCACGTGAAAGACAGAGTTTGACGAAGACGTGAGCTGTTTTGACTCATTATGACGCGACTGCAGCATCAGACGCTGAGGTCTCTCTGTGAGACAAGATTATATTTCCAGTCAGGGAGAGAGATCACTTCATGCTGTGTTTATTTTGCTGGCATCTCGTGGCACGTGTGTCCGTCATCTCTCCCTCCCTTCATTCTTCTCTCAGGGTAATATAGTCTGTGAGAGTAAATATCGCTCTTATGAATTTTAATAAACGCATATATGGTAAGAAGAGGGACTTGTTGAATATTGATGTGAGTGATCAGATGCGCCGCTGGCGATAGAAGAAACATCTCTTCATCCATCAAAGCACAAGAAACAAACACTCACGACTCCAGATTGTCTCTGTGCACCTCTTGTGTGTTTATGCTTATGCTCAAAACTTGAGTGTATTTAATTTAAAACTGAGACAGCACAGGTCAAGAGGGTAACAGTTAGATAACAAATAGATTTCATATTTTCCACAGCTTAATAATCACAGTACATTATAGTTGTTTTGTATGAATGTATGATATTGAATTAAATATGAAATAATTTGGACAAATTTCCAGAAAATAAATCTGAACACCAGATAATGCCAGGTGCAAAAATTTTGTTTGATTATGTTGATATATTAGAGTTAAAGGTTTTTATAGAGGGGATTTTAGATATCTGTTTTTATCACTCCATAAATCAGAAAATACCGTCAATAAACAGAAAAAAATGAATTTTCGCTATGTTTTTAGGAATATAATGTTGTATAAATCAGTGTGAATGATATATGAACAAACCCCTCAGTAAAAACCTTCAGAATATAGATAGAAATAAAACTCTAAGATTTGGTGAATGTAAGTGCTGTAGAAGTGGGAAAAAAACTCACAGCCTTTAAAGATACATATTTTTGCCATGTTTTTAGGGGAAAAAATGTTGTATAAATCGGTGGGAATTATATATGAACAAACCCCTCAGTAAAAACCTTCAGAATATAGATAGAAATAAAACTCTAAGATTTGGTGAATGTAAGTGCTGTAGAAGTGGAGAAACAAATTCAAGAAAACAGTCTGTTCATGTATAAATATGCATTGTAATGGAAATCTACAGACGCAAATAGATAAGTGCAATAAAATAAACACTTAAATGTAGATGTAGGATGTTTTCTTTCCACTAGTCTGAAAGAAGACATCTTGTACTGCCTTGCATTAAAAAAAAAAAAAACAGAAACAAAGAAGTCTAGTGATGTGTGGTAAATAATCATACGGTGTGACTGCAAGAAGTAGATCATGCCAGAGGCCTGTCTGAATCCACAACTGAACGTGTGTATGTTCATCACGTCTGATGATCTGGTGAATAAACGCGTCTATGAATTTCATATTAGACTGTAAATCACTTCTGATAGGAGAATTTTACAAAACTCCTGTGTGAATACTTGAAGAGAAACACGCTTGTGCATCTGGATGAACAACAAACAAACCGAGATTTGCATTTACACATTTAACAGATGCTTTTTTTTTCAAAAAGAGACTTATATAATATAAGATATACAGGCTTAATATTGTTGGGAAAAGAAAGAAGTTACCGATTCCAGATGAGCCCAGGAAGAGGAAGACGAGGGGATGCTCTTCATCATACCAGCCGTTCTCCTTCCTCCTAATGGCTGCGGAGAAAAACAGACAATAATTAACTCTAGACAGACAGACAGACGGTAATGAGAGGAGGACAGACAGACTGGACGAGAGCAAGCGCTTTTAAAAAATAAAAGGCAAAGACTGAGGGAAGACAGAATGATGGAGAGAGAGACAGACGAGAGCGAGACAGGGCCTCTCTGCACCATTAGACACACACTAATTTCATTACGCTGCTGCAATGCTGGAGCAACTAAATCAGGTTAGAATAGATCCAGCAGAGACACGGCACGATAACACACGCTCACCATGGCAACAGCGCATGTGTGTGTGTGTGTGAGTATATATGAGTGTGTGTGTGAGTGTATATGAGTGTGTGTGTGTGTGTGAGATCATCAGACGTCATTACAGCAGATATGTTTGTGTTATCTGTGTTGAGCTGCGTACAAACAATCATTCAGTTGTCTTTAAACATAACAGCATCACACACACATTTACACAGCTCTCTAAATGGGTTCATTCCATAGACTTCTATTGTTTTTATATACAGCTAGTCATAAATACTAAAACCCAGCACTAACCCACACACTGACCCTAACAGAAAACCCACTGCATTTTTACCATTAAAAAAACAACAACTTTTGTTTACTTCTCAAAATATGGTTAAGTAGACTGTACAGACAAATGACTTTTAAGTTGAGACTGTTAAAGACGATGTGATATCTTACAGATGAACAAAATGAGACATTTCCAGGCCTGGAAATCACAATTTTAATTTTTTATATTTCAGGCTTTCTATGATCAGGTCTATAAACTGTGGTAAAATCACAGTGCCTCTCTTATTGCTTTTATAAAACAGCAGCAACAGCAATATGATAAAACACACTCATACTTAATAAAGATACATTAATTAACAATAATCTGCCAAGTAATAAAGATAATTAAGATAACTGCTTGTTCACAGTAAGATAAAACAGTACACCAGTATGAACACACAACGATCACAAATATTAGGTCAAATAGAACATTTTAAATTCAGTAAATGTTCAGTGATGACTGAAATGTATTAATCAGCAAATACAATATATCAATATATAATAAATATAAATGAAATATAAATAAATATCCCCTGTCGTTTTAGAAGAAATATGCATTCTTTGAGAAGATGGAGCTGATAACGGGTTCACATCAGTGTTATTTTAGTATCACTGAGATACTATTACAGTTTTTATTAATATTTTAAAAACTTATTTTAGTAATTTTGTTGTATTTGTGATTTTTATTAGTTTTAGCTTTTTTAAAAAATATGTAAATAGTTTTTTTTATTTTAGTTATTTTTGTACATCAAGTTAAACTAAATGAAAATGATAAATGCTAAAATAAAAGTTTTTTGTTAAATATATTATTTCAGTTAAAGTTTATAAATTTTTTTAAGTTTTTGTTTTGTTTTAGATTTAGTTAATAACATTTCAGAGCAGATGAGATGTGGTTTGGTCTTTATGTGTGTTTTGGTTTTGATGTTGTTTTTTATTTGATTTATTTTCCCCCCTATTTTATAATGGACTGCTTGCTTTCTGACTGATTAGAAAAATGAATGCATAAAAAGATAAGTACATTTATAATGAAGTATTTCTATCAAGACAACCTACTGTCAATTCTAGATCATTCACAGTGTGTGTTTGTCTCTAAAACATAGACAACTGACACACACACACACACACACACACACTCACACACACACACACACACACACACACACACACACAGCATCCCGTCACGCTTAGTACACACACTGTCCTTCCGGAGACGGAACATTTCAAAGACATCTGGATGACACACACACACACACACACACACACACACACACACACACACACACGTCTGTCCTTGAGAGTGAACCAGCAATCAACTCATTTCTAATCCCTGCTTATTATCAGCCAATCAGATTCAACCACACACACACACACACACACAGTTACACAAACACACTTGACCGCAAGAAATCTGTCCACAACCATTTATCAGACAAAATGATTCCGGACAGACAGAAAGAGGCAGAAACACACAGAATCAGATTCCAAAAACCATGTTTTCATCAACATTTGTGTATATTTGTAATATTTATGCAGTAAGACACTAGAGCTGGTGTTTTATAGTGAATACAGTCTCTCGATGCGTGTCAAACTCCCTTCAGACAGCACTATATTCACTATATGACACCAGTTCCAGTGTAAAAACGACCGTACATGTGACTGCTGAGAGTGACACACACACACACACACACACACACGTGTGCGGTGATGTATGTGTAGCGTGATGCTCTCTGTGTCTCGGGACGGAGGACCGTAATGACATTAGTGAAAATAATCACCACCAATAACCTTTAGCCCTGAGAGCAAAACCCAGAATCAATCTACAGCTTCCTCTGTGTGTGTGTGTGTGTGTGTGTGTGTGTGTGTGTGAGTGTGTGTGTGTGTGTGTGAGAGTGTGTGTGTGTGTGTGTGTGTGAGTGTGTGTGTGTGTGTGTGTGTCGTTTCACATTTGTCTGGAACTTAATAACTGTTTGACTGTGTTTGAGGGTGAAAGAAAAAAAAATTAACGCATGAATAATAAAATCATCAACAGTTTAATGTATGACAACTAGGGATGGGCAATATGAGCTAAATCTTATATCACAATATGAATAATTGCATTTTATGATAACGATAATTATCCCAATATAGTTATTTTTGCAGGAAATCAGGTTAAATGAAGGAATAATTAAGATTTGTTAATGATTTTAAAAATTCAGCTTTGCATCACTGGAATAAATACAATTTTAAATATAAAAAACTTGTTTTATTCCAGGTAGCTGCCAAGGAAACATTTCTCATTTTATTTTAGTGTACAATAAATAAAATAATAACAACTTAATAATAAATAATAGTAAATAAATTAATATATTATAAAATACAAAAACAACACATTAGCTAAAATTAAAGTGAAAACAGAAAATATAAAAATAACGAATTCAAAATATTAACAAAAACTACAGTATATCAATGCTAAAATAACACTGGTTCAAGCTGATCAAATGCACAAGCGCAGCTTCATTGCGTCAGATCATTAAAATATATTCAGAGGGCATATATGCAGAAGTGTGTGTGAAGTGTGCGTGTTTAATGGCACGCGTGTGTCTGTGACTCGGGCTGATGTATTCACTATATCAGCTCTCACAGATCAATAACTCTGGTTTTATCACAGTGCTGATGGGATCCAATTGCTTTCGGGACAATTTGCCACAGCAATAACTGTCCATTTATCAAATCAGAGGCAGAGATTGGGCTCACTGAAGCGTCATTATTTCCTCTGCTGTCTCTCTCTATCTCTCGAGGACGGCTGTCTCACTATTGATGGACACGCAGAACAAAGATCTGCGAACGACATGCAAAAACACTCAGAAGAGCAGCTGATCAAAAACAGGTGAAGAACTCAGTCATCTCTACAGACCAGAATATCAACCTGGCATCATGTGCAGAAAGCAACACTCAGAAAACACAAAATACCAGTTTAAATAAAGGCATGAACTGCAAAAATGTAACTTGTATACATTCATTTATATAATATATATACATTTATTTTTTTATTATATATTTTGCATTGTGTATAAGTTGCACTTTATCATGTTTAGAAATCATAAAACTACAAAATTCACAAACCTACTAGCGTGTGGAATAAAAATAAAATACCTACCACCTACCAGTGTTTGGGAATAAATAATAATAATAATTTTGTTATGAATTTTATTTGTAAGTTGCATTTTATTATTACATTCAGAAATAATGTAAAATACTAGTAAATAAATACAAATAAAATAAAATGTTTACAAACACTCAATTTCTAATTAGGCACTGATTTCAATACCTAAACAAGTTCTTTTAGTCAGTAGGGTTGTTCAGAGCTCAAACAGTGCAAAATTGAGCAAAACTCTGCCCCATATGCGCGTACACGCACACACACACACACACACACACACACACTTCTGTAAAAGCTCACTGATCGATAAACAAAGACCCCTCAGTGTGTGTGTGTTCGGTATTTATTAGAGGCGTATGTTATTGTGTTTTAACTCACATACAGACACACACACACACACACACACGCTCAGCCATATAGAAAGACACACGCACACACACGCTCAGTGAGTGAGTGTGTGTGTGTGTGTGTGTATGTTTGTGTGTGTCTGAGTGTGTGTGTGTGTGAGAGTGTGTGTGTGTGAGAGTGTTTGTTTGTGTGAGTGTGTGTGTGTGTGAGAGTGAGAGTGAGTGTGTGTGTGAGAGCGTTTGTGTGTGTGTGTGTGTGTGTGTGTGAGAGTGAGAGTGAGTGTGTGTGTGTGTGTGAGTGTGTGTCTGAGTGTGAGAGAGTGAGAGTGTGAGTGCGTGTGTTTGTTGAGATAGTGAATTGGTGGGTTTTTGTTAAATGTGAGCCAAAATCATCACAATTAAAAGAACCAAAGACTTAAACTACTTCAGTCTGTGTGCACTGAATTTATTTAATACACGAGTTTCACAATTTGAGTTGAATTACTGAAATAAATGAACGTTTCCACGACATTCTAATTTATTGAGATGCACCTGTAAATATATGTATATATTAGGGCTGTCAGTTTAAGGCGTTAACTTAATTAATTAGTTATGAAAAAATAACGCAATTAAAATATTTTAAAGCACTGGCCCCGCCCCCAGATCTGTATGTCATCTTACATTTCATACAGACAAATATGATGCAGGACAATAACTCCATAAATGCAGTTATGCACTAAAAGTCAAGATATTGGTGTAAAAAAATGCCCCTGTATGAGTTTTTGTCTCATATTTATATCATATGATAAGCAATATCACACCAGCAGTGAGAGCAATATCAGACGAGTGCTGTTTCTGTCACGAAGAACACAAGTGCAAATGTGATTTTATACAACAGTTCAGTAAATAAGAAGTTAATATTGTGTTATATTTTAAACAGAATATTATGTTTTTGCTCAGTTTTGCAGAGAACATAACTACCTTTAAAGCCACAGCAGAAATGCTGTATGTCTCCGAGCAACACAGCGATGTTTAGTTTCTGAATGAATCTGCGTTTTGAACGAATCGTGTGAATCAATGAGTCAAAGCCCATTCATAAAGACAGCCCTTTACTTCATTCCTGAATGAAGCAGCCATTCGAATGAATGACTCAAAGACATTTAACACCACCTGTTGGCAGATTTAGTTTCTTATTTAGAGTATCATTTAATTAAAAAAAAAATATATATAAAATAATAATAATAATAAAAACATTAAAGGGATAGTTCACCCAAAATTTTTTAAATTCTGTCATCATTTATTTAAACCTGAATGAACGTTGTAGCCTAAATGTTTATGTGTAATAAATTTTATGTTGAATCAAATAAAATATTTCTAAAGCTACAATTTGTAATGCCTTCTTGATACTTTCTCATTTAACACGAAAATAGCTTTAAATAATCTTTTGTGGGTCTTTTCACCGCCAAATTTATTTTGCGATTTTTTAAATTCTGTCATCATTTATTTAAACCTGAATGAACGTTGTAGCCTAAATGTTTATGTGTAATAAATTTTATGTTGAATCAAATAAAATATTTCTAAAGCTACAATTTGTAATGCCTTCTTGATACTTTCTCATTTAACACGAAAATAGCTTTAAATAATCTTTTGTGGGTCTTTTCACCGCCAAATTTATTTTGCGATTAATTAGATGAATTAATCGTAACATCATGTAATTAATTAGATTAAAATTTTTAATCGACTGACAGCCCTAGTGTATATACATATATATATATATATGTGTGTGTGTGTATATACATATATATATATATATATATGTGTGTGTGTGTATATATATATATATATATATATATATGTGTGTGTGTATATACATATATATATATATATATATGTGTGTGTGTGTATATATATATATATATATATATATATGTGTGTGTGTATATACATATATATATATATATATATGTGTGTGTGTGTATATATATATATATATATATATATGTGTGTGTGTATATACATATATATATATATTTTTTTCTCCCCCTCAAAATATTAAAACTATAATTGTATCTCAATTATACTAAAATAACACTGGATCAAATTAACCCAATTTTTTTTACAGCATTCCCACATATTTGATCGATTAATTTCCATGACTTTTCCAGTCATACATAATTACTGTATAGTGGTTTTTAAAAATAATTTTTAAATCAATATTTCTCTAACTTCACTCATTTATGTAGTGCTGCTACTGATACCTAGGCTTATATTTAGACACAAATATGATAAAATATGATTTACCGTGGCGTGAAATCACATAACAACAAATGAAACAAATAAATGGGTTGATATAGATAATGTAGATTATTATAAAGTTTTGTAATGAAAATTTGAAGTCGTCACTAAGACAAGGATCTAATCTTGAGTAATAGGGAATAATATTTATATTATACAGTATATTATTAAATACTATTATTAAAGTAAGGTGTTGAACGTTTGAACAAGTTTCCAAAAGATGAAACAGTTTTGAGTGACTTTCAGATTGTAAAAAACTCAGCTTCTAGCATTTTGTGTGTATTTTCTAAGGCTGCGAAACGATTAGTCGCGATTAATCGATTCAAAAGAAAAGTTTCTGTTTACATACTATGTGTGTGTACTGTGTATATTTATTATGTATATATAAATACACACATATATGTATATATTAAAAAATATATTTGTATGTATTATATGTAATTTATATTATATATAAATATTTTACATATGTATCCAACATATTTTTTCTTAATATATACATGTATGTATGTGTGTGTATTTATAAATATACACAGTACACACACATATAGTATGTAAACAAGCTTTTATTTTGGATCAATTAATCGTGACTAATTGTTTTGCAGCCCTGGTATTTTCTCCTCTAAACAAGCCTGATTTGACCATGTTTTTGCCGTGTTTTACCGTGTTCTGGGCCTCTTTCAGCAGCGTGGCCATCTCTCCCTCTTTGGCGTACGTCAGCGGCGTGTGGCCCAGGTCGTTCTTCTGTAAGGGGTTGGCACCTGCACACGGTGAGAGGTCAGAGGTCAGAGGTTAACGTTAGGGTGTGGGGTCAAGCGGTTGTGTGAATGACACTCGGCCGGCTGCATCCGGACGTCAGAGCGTGTGTTGCTGTCCTGCGGTGATGACGTCACACTGTGCTTGTGTTTGACAATTAAAACACACCGCAGCGTGTGTCAGCCGTGATGCTTAGCGCTGCCTTTTGCCCTGACCTGCCCTGCACACACACACGCACGCACGCACACACTCACAGACAGACACACACACACACACATGCACTCACACACACACACACACACACACACACAGACAGACACAGACACACGCACGCACTCACACAGGCAAATTACAAATCTTCCTTTTATGTCTAAAATTTTAGAAAAAGTTGTGTCTGCTCAATTGTGCTCCTTCCTGCAAAACAATGATCTCTATGAAAAATTTCAGTCAGGTTTCAGGCCCCACCATAGCACAGAAACTGCACTTGTTAAAATTACAAATGACTTGCTTCTTGCGTCAGACCAAGGCTGTGTCTCATTGCTAGTTTTACTTGATCTTAGTGCTGCGTTCGATACTATAGATCATGACATACTCATAGATCGATTACAAAACTATACAGGTATTCAAGGGCAGGCTTTAAGATGGTTTAGATCCTACCTGTCCGATCGCTACCACATTGTTCATTTAAATGGGGAGTCATCTCAATTATCACCAGTAAAACATGGAGTGCCACAAGGATCTGTCCTAGGTCCTCTGCTATTTTCGATATACATGTTGCCACTTGGTAATATTATTAGGAAATACGGGATTAGTTGCCACTGTTATAAACTCTGCTTTTCTTTAATAACAGGTTTGGGACACGTCTGCGGTATAAACTACAGTAAAACCTCACACGACTGTCACGGTCTCAGCGCTCGACTCGAACACAAAGAAACAGACAGAAATAAAAACATCATCCCACATTAAATTAGACACGGAACAAACACTTCCTTCCCCGCTCGTAAAATACAGTTTATCCGCAAACACAGAATCAATATCCGTACACTGGAGCTGCCGAGTCCCCGGGCATTGTGGGTAATCGCCCGGATTATTGATAAACCCTTAAACGTGTCCGTCTAACAAATCTCAATCGATAGCGGACAAACAGAAACACGAAAACTAATAAAGAAATACAAGAGGAGCTCGTCTCTCCTCTGCAGCGAGCCTCTCGTAGCCACATAATAAATAGCATCATTTAGTCGTCTAATATCACACACTGTTCCCGCCGGGCTCACGGCTGCAGGGTCACACACACACACACACACACACACACACACACACACACACACACACACACACTTCTCACACGCACACGCACACGCACTCTCACACGCACACTCGCACTCACACGCACACTCGCACTCACACGCACACTCACACTCACACGCACACGCACTCTCACACACACACACTCACACACACACACACTCACACACACACACACTCACACACACACACACTCACACACACACACACTCACACACACACACACTCACACACACACACACTCACACACACACACACACACTCACACACACACACTCACTCACACACACACTCACACACACACACACACTCACTCACACACACTCGCTGCAGCTGGCGCCGGTGTTTGACCCCCAGGGGTCAGAGTTCAGGGCCCTCACACCTCCAGGAAAGCAGTGATAGATCGAGGGCTCATGAGGGAAATAAAGCCGCTCACCTGCCCGCAGGTGTGTGTTCTGAACTTCAGCAGACTTAGAGCACAAAACTGATGAAAAATGCCCTCAAGTTTGAAAAAATACTTATAAAGAAAGATGGCTCATAAGGAGACTCGACTGGTTTATCTGTGCACATGCTGCATAACACACACACACGGCCGATTATTATTAAGAAATGAACACTTTTATTCATCAGGGATGCATTAAATTCATCAAAAGTGACAGAAAATACATTTATAATGTTTCAGAAGATTTCTATTTCAAATAAACGCTGTTCTTTTGGACTTTCTATTCATCTGTGAATCCTGAAAAATACAATGCATCACGGTTTCCACAGAAATATTGTGCAGCACAACTGTGTTCAACATTGATAATAATCAGAAATGTTTCTCGAGCAGCAGATCAGCATATTATACTGATTTCTGAAGATCATGTGACACTGAAGACTGGAGTAATGATGCTGAAAATACAGCTGCGCATCACAATATATACGATACTCAATTTATTGATACTATAGCTATTTTAAACTGTAATAATATTTCACAATATTACTGTATTTCTGATCAAATAAATGCAGCCTTGATAAAAAAAAACTTCTTTCAAAAGCGAAGTTCTTTCAAACTTTTGAACAGTAGTGTATATAGCATATATATTTTACAGTATATATATATATATATAATTAGAATTATTATTACAATTTATTATTATATTCATTTTATTTTAATAACAGAATATTTTACATCATTTTATATGTATATACGTAAATAATTATTAATATATATCTATTTATTATACTTTTATTATGCATTATGATTCATATAATTTATTTTAATAATACATTTTATATATAATTATTAATTGTATACTTATCATATATATATATATTATAATAATACATAATGATTTAAGAACAATACAGCTCATCTGCTTTGTTCTAAAGACTTGAAGCGACTCAACAGAAAACAGCACCGCTTACGAGAAGCACACGATCTTTAGCATATTGCACTAGCATAAACATACACTGGGTATAACAGCTCATTTTAATCAAGGACGAGAAGCAAGTCTCAAAGAAAGTTTACGAAGGCAACCATTATTTTTCTGTTGAATAACAAATGAAAGGTTCACAATAAGTGCAGCGAGTCCTCTCTGACTTCATGTTAAATGCTGTGTATGTGGGTTCAGACGCTCGTCTCGTCCTCATCGCATTAGTCTGTCTCACACTGATGATGTCATCGGCGTGATAGATGCTCCTCGGCGGGACTCGCGGCGCTGCTCTGTCTGAGGGGGCGTGGCCTCCTCCCACTAAGACTTCTGGGTAATGCGCTCCGACGGCGTAATGCAATTTCTCGGCACCAGGACGAGCGATTTTGTTCTTTGTTTCGGGTCGTTTCTGTCACTTTAATCTAAAAGTGCATCTGCTCCCAAAAACATCCAGTGATTTATAGAAAGTGTTGATGCTTAAAGTGAGTGTGTAACCGCAGATCAGACGGAGACGGAGACGCAGAGTGTGTGTGTGTGTGTGTGTGAGAGTGTGTGTGTGTGTGTATGAGAGAGTGTGTGTGTGTGTGTGTGTGTGTGTGTGTGAGTGTGTGAGATTGTGTGCGTGTATGTGTGTATGAGAGAGTGTGTGAGAGAGAGTGTGTGTGTGTGTGTGTGAGAGTGTGAGTGTGTGAGAGTGTGTGTGTGTGTGTGTGAGTGTGTGTGTGTGTGTGTGTGAGAGAGTGTGTGAGAGAGTGTGTGCGTGTATGAGAGAGTGTGTGTGTGTGAGAGAGAGTGTGTGTGTGTGAGTGTGTAACCGCAGATCAGACGGAGACGGAGACGCAGAGTGTGTGTGTGTGTGTGTGTGTGCCCTGCAGCTATAATAACACACTCGTGTAAATCACACACACACCTCTTCCTGTCACCTCTCATCTGCGGGTCACATAAGCCACAGTGTCGTTACTCCAGAGGTCAAAGGTCACGCAGGATGGCCTCAGGCTAGCAGGAAGAGCTGCTCTATATTAGCCAAACACAGACGCTTGTCACAAACACTCGGGAGTTTCACCTGTTTTCTGCTCCAGCAGGTGAAATGTGCATCTGATTACTTGGATGACTAGACGTGAGGAAGAAAAGTAATTTCTTACATTCATAAGGGCATTTTTTCTTACCTTATTAGATGTATGCATCATCTTTTATGTCAAATGCTTACATTTAAGTAATAAATTCAATTTGACATTAAAAGAGTGTCAACAAAATCTAGTTTTGCACTGCAGAAGCAGCATTTACACTGCTATTACAATATTATACATTGTAATTGCAGTGTATATAATATTTTGAATACTGAAATATGAATTTTTTTTGTTTAATGAAATGACACGAAATAAAATCCGTCATAAATAAATGTAAATAAATTATGTTAATTAGTAACACGCGAGTCATTGAATTCATTAATACAATTTATTTAAATTTAAAATAAAACTGAAAATAAAATAACAACAATAGTATTAAATAAAACAATAATAATATTAAATAAATATTTTAAATAAATATAAATAAATTCAGTAATGTGTGAGTCATTGAATTCATGTTGCTAGTTAATATAATTTATTTACATTTAAAAAATATATTAAAAATGTATTTTTAATAAATTCAAATAAATTATCCATGTTACTAATTCATATAATTTATTTAAATTTAAAGCAAATTTTGCTAATTGTTTAATTTTCAATTGTACGCTGTACAGTCATTTTATTTAAAGAAATCTTATTTGAATTCACTTTTAATGTGTTTAAAGAGTGAGTCACTGAATCATTCATTCAACCGATTCATTCAAAAAGCTTCATTGAGAAACACTCTTCATGAATGGATCACTGAATCACTGAGTCATTCAAAAACACGGATTCATTCAGGAACGGAACACTAATTTGTCATTTTTATTGGTGAAATAGAGCAAAAACAGACAGTATTGTGTCTAAAATGTAAAACTATGTCATTTACTCATACACTACCAGTCAGAAGTATTTTGTCTTTATCGTCACTTTTGATCAATTTAAAGCTTTGAAATCACACGAATAAATTACATTCTAAAATATATTCAAATAGAAATGAGTTATTTTAATTAGTAAAAATATTTCAAAATTTTCCTGTTTTTTGCATCAAATGAATGCAGGCTTGGTGAGCAGAAGAGACTTCTTTAAAAAACATTAAAAATCTTACTGTTCAGACTTTTGACTGTTAGTGTAAATATATATATATATATATATATATATATATATATATAAGAATAATATGTGAGTTAAACACTAATTGAAGTATTTTGTCTTTATCGTCACTTTTGATCAATTTAAAGCTTTGAAATCACACGAATAAATTACATTCTAAAATATATTCAAATAGAAATGAGTTATTTTAATTAGTAAAAATATTTCAAAATTTTCCTGTTTTTTGCATCAAATGAATGCAGGCTTGGTGAGCAGAAGAGACTTCTTTAAAAAACATTAAAAATCTTACTGTTCAGACTTTTGACTGTTAGTGTAAATATATATATATATATATATATATATATATATATATATATATAATTGTACCCTAATATATTGAATTCCGGGGTCATTATAACTGCATTCTACTAAGTGTGCACTATCAAGGCCAATTTCTTTTGCAAAGTGTGTTAAATACTCAATAATGTAGGCTTCCACATAATTAATACAACAACTTCTATATTGTCCTATTAAATGCAGACCACAGTAAGTATTTTTCTCATGATTTTACTGATGCCATTCACATTTGAAAACTCTCAGATCAGCTCTCCATCATGGCTGTATCAGTAAAGCGTGTGTGAGAGTGTGTGTGTGTGTGTGTGTGTGTGTGTGAGTGAGAGTGTGTGTGTGTGTGTGTGTGTGTGTGTGTGGTGTGTGTGCGTGTGTGTGTGCTCGCTCACCTGCGTCCAGCAGCATCCGGACGGTCTGCAGGTCATCGGTCAGCGCGGCGTAATGCAGAGCAGAACATCCTCGGAAAGAAGCGCGGCTGCTGAGACGATTGCTGAACTCGTCCTCGCGGCTCACCAGCACTGACAGAGACAATTCAACAAGATCACAAACCCTGACTGACACACACACACACACACACACAGCACGCTGAATAACAGCTGATTCCAGATGCTTCACGAGCTCAGCAAACCCTATCAAAGTCAACAATAACAGAAAAAAAAGACTCAGACTTTTAACCCATTTAATCCCAAATTTTTTCCAGACATGAAAATATCCAGATGATGTGTCATTAGTAACCCCTTGAAATATTCAATAATTATTTTTTGAATTTTTGGGGAAAAGAGTGTGAAATATAGTTTTTCTGAATTAACATATTTCTGCAGTCATAAAAATTGTTATATATCTCAGCCCAGCTATTTGAAATTCTGTTTCATCACATTCTAGGGTTATTATTATGCATAAAAACCCTTGTACAACACTGATAGGAATACTGAGATAAAATACAACCATCAACGCATTTCAAAACTGCTACTTTATTGTAACACATATCACATTTTTATATTAGTGCTACCAGTATTGCAACATCAATATTGTAACTTATTTGTAACATTTGAACTTTTAATTTAGTGCAATATTTTGTCATTGCAACAAATAAACTGCTCTGGTCATGTGACAATTTGCACTAATCATGTGACACTGCACATATTTCATTGAGACCCTTTAATTTTTTCATATTTGCGGGAAGTGCACTAAAACATCAGTCAGTAAGGTTTTTAGAGCTTTATAAATGAAAACCTTTTTTTAAATGGGTTTTAATTGCATAATTCAAAGGCATTTAAATTTAAAATACATTTAGCTGATTGTTAATTTCCTATTTTATGCCAGAAAGTCACTTAATAATATTTTACTTGAATTCACTTTATGTTAAAGAGCTGATGAACTCAGAATGTGAGTTTCATGTCTTTTAGACCAAGTCTGTATTTTTGAGCTGAAATATGCGAAATATACTCATTAAAGCTTTTGCTGTCTTTTAAATTCCAGTTTTGTCCACAATTTTACACTGCAGTCATTTTATTTAATTTTAATTATCTACGTGTCTCTTAGATTAAGTTTTTATCTTTGAGCTCATAGTTTCATAAATATTGTTTTTAAAATATTTTAATTTATTATAACATTTTTAAACACTTTGTGCACATAAACACATTTAACATTTGTAGTGTCCTCTTCTAGGAAAAATTACTCAAAATATCACAATATCATCCTGTAAGACATTCATCAAGCAAATCATGTTCACGTGTAAAAGATTGTCCACCACTTCCTATTTCGACAGGAAACAGGAAAAACTCCATTCGAGCTATTTTCATGTTATTTTTATGTGATTTGTTTTGCAGTTTCAGCAATACAAGTGTAGTTGTTTTGTTGAAAACGCACTGAAACCAAGACACAGAGACCGAGATGGTAAAAATGAAGGAGAAGAGGCTGACGATGTTCAACGGCGTTCTTAAAACAAGACAAACCGCTCGAATTAAAAACAAACGCATGTAGAAGCGCTCACAATTATTCTCAGCACAGACACGCACAAATAAATCATAAAGCAGCAACAGTGTTTTTCTCCTGTCCGTGTGCAGAAACATATTTTCTCTCTGGGCTGCTGTCAGGCGGATCGTCATGGGTAACTAATGTCTAAGAGCCAGATAATCACAACATAACCCAATAAACCGTCAGACGAGCAGAGCCTGGCGATCCATCACACACACACACACACACACACACACACATTCATCATGGTGCTTCAGGGAAAGATGCTCCTTCAAGACCAAAAAACTGCCAACAAAACAAATGTGAGTAATATACATACAGCAGCCAGATATGACACACGTCTGTGTGCGTGTGTGTGTGTGTGTGTGAGAGAGTGAGTGAGTGAGTGAGTGAGTGAGTGAGTGAGTGAGTGAGTGAGTGAGTGAGTGTGTGTGTGAGATGGAAAACACTTACAAACAACAAGCTGTGAAATAAATCGAGTGCCGATATGCAAACAGCACAAAATGAGCGTGTTAAAATTGATCTGTGTAATAACACACACTCCTGCTGTGTTTACATGTGTGTGTGAATGGGTTTATAAATAACAGTGAGGATGATGATGATGGTGATGATGAAGCACATGTGTCTCACCCTCTAACGAGTGAACGCCCTTCTCTCGAGCCGTTTCATACACGCTGCTGAAGTCATCGCCCAGGTTTGGATTGGCACCCGCCTCCAGCAGCACCTTCACCGCACTGACCAATAAACACATCCATCAGTAACAGATTCACCTCACACACACACAGACACACAGGCATGCACACGCACACAGACACACACACACGCAGACGCGCACACACACACACACACACACACACACACAAACAGAAACACAGACAAACAAACACACACACACACACACACACACACAGAAACACAGAAACACACACACAAACACAGACACACACACACAGACCCGCACTCTCTCTCTCACACACACACACACACACAAACAGAAACACAGACACACACACACAGAAACACAGACACACACACACATACACACAGAGATTCAAGGAAATGAGTTAACGGAGTTGCATGAAGTTTTCTAAGTTCTAACTCGTTATCATGAGTGGTTTTAAATTCAGCCTGGGAGAAACACAAAGCAGATATTTTCTTATATTTACTGCTTAAGACACACACTCTCTCTCTCACACACACACACACACACACACAGAAACACAGACACACTGATTATTCAATATTAAAAAAAAATTACAGCACATTATTTGAATAATGATTATTCAATATAAAGGAAACAATTGTCACATTATTTGAATATTAATTATTCAATATTTAGAATTTTTTCGCATCACCTTATTTGAATAATGCTTATTTAATATTTAGGAAATTATTGCATCAGTTTATTTTAATAATAATTGTTCAACATTTAGAAAATTATTGCGTCACATTATTTGAATAATGATTATTCAGTATTTAAAATTATATATTACAGCACAATACTTGAATAATGATTATTGAATATTTACAAAAAATTATGCAGCATATTATTTGAATAATAAGTGTTTAACAATGAGCATGAAAACTGACAGACAGATGGATAATTCCACCTGTGGGCGGGGCAAGTGTGTGGTGGGAGGGGCCAGTGTTGCCATGGAGACACTGCTGGCCCAGAGCGGTCCGGGGTTCCAGAACACTCGAGTCAACGGAACACACACTCCCAAAAGAGTCAGTGCAGCGTCAAAACAAACAGCATTCTGACCACCACACACACACACACGCACACGCACGCACACGCACACATACACATACACACACACACACACACACACACAATGCTTAAATCTGGACATCGAGGTACTTTAAATGTGTCTGGATCCGAAGACTGCGGTTGATGCTCTAAGCTGCATCATGTGTGTGTGTGTGTGTGTGTGATGTTCTCAGGGTCAGTGTGTTTATCTATGAGATGTGAGTTTAAGGAAAACAGAGCATATGCGTGAGAGCAAAGAGTAGTGACCCTGAGCAAAGCACAAACTCAAACACATCCGTGTGTGCTGAGACTCCAAAGAGCTCAACAGTTTCAAGAAACCTGCAGATTTCTCTAGTCAGAAGTGCCATTATACCACATGCTATTCTGTATGAACGCATTCAATGCTTAAATCTGGACATCGAGGTACTTTAAATGTGTCTGGATCCGAAGACTGCGGTTGATGCTCTAAGCTGCATCATGTGTGTGTGTGTGTGTGTGTGTGTGTGATGTTCTCAGGGTCAGTGTGTTTATCTATGAGATGTGAGTTTAAGGAAAACAGAGCATATGCGTGAGAGCAAAGAGTAGTGACCCTGAGCAAAGCACAAACTCAAACACATCCGTGTGTGCTGAGACTCCAAAGAGCTCAACAGTTTCAAGAAACCTGCAGATTTCTCTAGTCAGAAGTGCCATTATACCACATGCTATTCTGTATGAACGCATTCATAAACTAAAAATAAAATTCAATTCAATTTATCAAACTGGAGAGACTCCAGAATGCTGCACACAAATAAATCAAACAACTCATTTTTAAAGGGGTCATGAACTGAGAAACCAAAATTCCCTTGACACATAAGAGGTCCTTGTACTATAAAACATCCTGTAAGTTTCAGAACTCGTCACATTGCGCATGCCCGACTTTAACTGCTACTTCATGAGGTTCTACTGTAACCCTCTTCTACGGGAGAACAGCTGGTTTGCTGTAGTCGTTACAACGTGACAATTTAGGTTGGTAAATGTTACGTTTTACAATATATACCATTGTAATTGCATCATTATGCGATTCTACCATTAGTCTTTTATTTAATCTGTGTTGATATGTTTTAAAATGAAACTGATTTTAAAGATTTTTCCATTTGTACAAAGATAGATATGTCTGCTGTTAGTAACGCCATCTCAGGTAGCACTGAGACTAGAGATGATGTGAAGCAAACAATGTAAGTATTGCCTAAACATCCACCACATAATACTTCAATAAATTACTGAATACTGAGTTGCGCCGTCTTGTTTATGGTTGCTTAGTGATTTTTACGTTCTCGGCTACGGCGGTGTAACAGCTTACTTCCGGTCATCGTAGCCATTCCATTCGCAGCTGTTGCTTAAAGTCCCTAATAGTGTGGATAAGCACCGCCTCCACAGAGGAAGATCGACATCACTGTCTGTTTAGCCATGCCCACAGATTCTACATCACTGTCTGTTTAGCCCCACCCACCGAATCTACATCACTCTGTTTAGCCATGCCCACCGAGTCTACATCACTCTGTTTAGCCCCGCCCACCGAGTCTACATCACTGTCTGTTTAGCCCCGCCCACCGAGTCTACATCACTGTCTGTTTAGCCCCGCCCACCGAGTCTACATCACTGTCTGTTTAGCCCCGCCCACCGAGTCTACATCACTGTCTGTTTAGCCCCGCCCACCGAGTCTACATCACTGTCTGTTTAGCCCC